ATCTTACTTTAAAATAAATTCCAGATGGATGAAAGATATAAACACAAAAAAATGAAATAATAAAAGAATTAGATAAGCAATGTTGTGTTGTAGCCAAGAACAACAACAACAAAAAATAATTAGAAAAAATTGTGAATTGAAAAAAAATCTCAGAGAGGTGAAGTCCTGTTTATGTATGATGTAAAACTCTGAAGTCATAAAGATTAGTAAGTTTGACCAACATGCAAGTTAAAATTTTTTTCATCATAAAAACCACCCATGATAAAGCCAAAACCAAATAATAACAAATGGAAAAATATTTGCAAATCATATAACAGGCATAGAGTTAATTTCATGAATATATAAAGAGCTGTCTACAAATCAATAAGAAAGAGATGCAACTAACAATATAATAGAAAAAGGTGCTAAGGATATGAAAAGGCAGTCCACATAGAAGGCTCTGTAGACTCTTAAACATATGAAAATATGCTCAAATTTATTCATAAGAGAAGCACGAAGTAAAATGATAATACAGGCCATTTTTTTTTTTTAAACAGGGTCTCACTCTGTTGCCCAGGCTAGAGTGCAGTGGTATTATCATAGCTCACTACAACCTTAAATTCCTGGGCTCAAGCGATCCTTCTGCCTCAGCCTCCTTAGTAGCTGGGACTACAGGTATGTGCCACCATACCTGACTAATTTTTTGTTGTTGTTGTTAAGACAGGTTCTCCTTATTTTGCCCAGGCTAGTCTTGAAGTCATGGCCTCAATCGATCCTCCTGCCTTGGCCTCTCAAAGTACTAGGATTATAGGTGTGAGCCACTACGCCTGGCCTGTAATAGCATTTTTAATCTATCATATTGCAAAGATGAAAAAACACTCTCAAATGCAACAACAATGGGGGGCAATTGGGTATTATTTTTCAAAATTACAAATGCAAAGCTCTTCAACCCAGGAATTTGTAGGATATATTTATCCTACAAACATATTTGCATGTGTGTGAATTAAGAATGTACTGCAGCATCATTGTAATAGCAAGAGACAGGAAACAATTTAAGTGTTCATCAATAAAGGACTTATAAAATAAAATAAATTTTTATAAAATAAAATAAATACTTTATAAAAAATATATTTTATAAAATAAAATATAGTAAAGGTGAAAATAAATAAAATACATTTTAAGTCTAAAATACCTTAAACTGAAAAACATAGATGTGTTATGGAGTAGATTACAAACATTGTGAATTTTTAAGATATCCTGCAAGAGTTCAGAGGCATTTCAAGCTCAGATGTGCACTTGGGCTTTTGACCCTAGATCCAGGAGTATAAGGGTAAAAATTGAACTCTCTCTATTATCTGGAACACTCAGAGAAAATGTGTGAAAAGCACTGCTTTGCAAGTTAACAGGACCCTGGGGCAGGACCTGGGGGAGATGTCCCTTGAAACTTGGAGGTAAGGTCATTCTCTGAGTATATATATGAGTCAGGTTCCAATCTAGAAAACAGAAACCACTCTTAAGTATTTAAAATAGGTAATTTAATCCGATTATCTCTGTGTTGGCAGAGATAAAAAGCCAAACAGAGAATAACAAAAATAGCCCAGCAATGAGTGATAGGAAGAAGCAACTGCCACCCTATCATCTGCCAGAAGGTAGAGTCGGGTAGGTCATTGGAGATAGCCTGATGTTGAGGGGTGGGGAGGGGATATATACTCTGGCCTGGAGGTGGGGCAGGGGGAAAGGTATACTCTGGCTTTTTCCTTGATCCCTCCAATCTCCAGAAAATGCCTCCCATTGATGGAGCCCAGGAACTCAGCCTGGAAGCCAACCAGTACATGAGTGCAGGCCATGCAGACCTTCACGGAATCAGCCCTCCACTGCCATTTTGAAAAGATCAGGGAAAGGTGAAAAATGGACTTCAAGGCAAAACAGACCAGGATCAGCACATATGGAAATGAGAAAAAAAATCAAAACATAATTGGTGAATCCATCCCCTTGAGGAGAATCAACTAAGGGTACCTGCGCAAAGGTGGGTTTCTAGAACTGCAACGTTAAGATCCCAACATTTTCTCCAAAATGTCCTTTATAGCCTGGTTTGTCCAAACTAGAATCTTACTCTGGATCATACACTACATCTGGTTATTTCTCTTAAAACTATTTTAAACTAGAACAACACCTTTTCTTGATTTAGTAAAGGAAAGAGGCCAGTCGTTCTTAAAATGTCCTACTTTCTGAATTCGTTTGTTGCCTTTTGCTTTTCTTTAGCTTGATCCCCTATCCTGTAAACTTGATTAATCCAAGTTAAACATTTTTTAAAAGAACACATCATAGTTGATGGTGCCTACTTAATGTTGGCATCC